TTTAGAACACACACAGATGCATTGGATGTACACGTTTTTGTATTCGTGCAAGCATCAAACAATGAACAACTTATTTGAGGTGCGCACATTGTTGTATTTTTTGATGTTTCAAAACGATAACAGGTATTTGAAGAGGAACAACTGCCGTTGTGATTGCTAGGATCATACTGATCAACCGTACAACTAGATGAAAACCTGCTTGTTGCACCTAGACAACAGATATTGTCAAAATAATTGTTATGGGGTCAACATTACCTTCACTGTATGTAAAAAGCGAACACAGGTAAACAATGACGAGAACTGTCAGTCGAATCATTTCAGTAGTAATGGTTCAGAACATCGAAGACGTTTCCAATGGAACTTGAGCCAAAACACGAATAGGTACGTTCGAAAGAGAAAAGAAAAAAACTAACAACTTATATAAGCTGGGTCGAAATTTAAAATTTTTATTAAAAAAATATTTCTTTCTCAAGTGATAAAACGATCATTTTATCAATGCTGTCTGTTTTAAAATGAGGCATAAAATCAACGGAGCCGACTTTTAACTTCTTAATTGAGGGAAAGAAAAAGATTTTATAAGTATGAGCGACATGATTGCTGCGAATATTTCACCGTTATTCACTGTGCTGATCCGTGTCTACTAAGCTTGTGTTCCCGAAAAATAATATTCGAAAGAGTAGAATAACACGAATGAATGTTTTTTTATTTTTAAGTGTACACGTTTCGAAGAAAAACATCATTCTTTATGCAAAGTCAATTGCTAGAAAGACGAAGGCTTCGCTTAACAAAACCGAATCACAAACATTCACAGCTTTCAACTATACGTCTATGACTTTTCCCCCTGTTCTACCTTGGATCGAATGGATAGTATTTATTAGCAAATGATATTTTTATATCACAAATTCCATGACAAGAATATTATACTAGCTGTCTTGTAAAGAAGGAAAATATCTCAATATATGGTTTGATTGAAAAACTAATAGGTGTACAATAATTCTCAGCATTGTAAACAGATAAAGGATGACTACGTCGCAATGTTCTAAATCAGCTCGGTTTGATGTTGCTCTTCAACAGAGACTCAGATACTATGTTTTCTAACTTTGCCATAATATTTGTAACGCAGGTCAATAGTAAAAAGAGTAAGTATAAGTGTGGGTGCCACTATATGATCAAGTTAGAGTGCGTGCGCGTCGTCTCTTCATCAACGTCTACATTCTCACCCATACAAAGCACTCAAACCCATATTAAGACATACTCACACGTCTACACGTACGCTTACATCTACATCCAAATTGCTTGATCACACATCCAGTCCCACACTCGTCAACAACGATCGGCACCTACTTCATAATCCCCCATCCTGTACCCACTCAAAACCATCCATTCCCGACACCCGCAACCGCCGAAACTTCCACTCAAACGATCAAACTGTACAGTAATATCGATCCCCCACACGTATGCAAACACCCATCGTTCACACCAACATCCGATCCAAAACATGCTTCCACTAACAACCTTCGACACCTACACCCAAATGACTGAGCCCCAAACAAACATCTACTCACAACTAGCCATCCGTCACACCCACATCTAAACCGTCCATTCTCTACACCGACTCCCAAACTGCCCAACTTCACACCCACACTCACCCCACACCCAGAAACTCACATGCTAACTCAATACTTAGTACGTCAGCTAACATAGATTGACAGTTCTTCAGAACCGGATCGATTATACTAGAGAAGAAGCACTGGTCTTAATATTGAACAGGTGAATAACATTTTATTGATTAGACCAATGCAAAAAAAAAACAAAATATTCTTATAAAAACGCTTCTCTTTTTTTGGCTGGTTTTCTTTGAACCGTATGTGTCATTCAGTATGTGTGTTCATTGTTCTATTTTTTTTTGTTAATAATATCCTCTATGTGTTAAAATAATGATGATAAAATTCCATAAGTTCATGTTTTTTACATTTATTTATTTGCTGTAATGAACGTGTCATTCAAATGTACGCATAATATGTTTCTACGTATTTTTATATTGGTAATATCAACTATCATAGGAGACTTTAGTTATTATAGTTGAAAATGATTTGAAACAGATTAGCTGCTAGATAACTAATAAACTAAAATGTAATTTGACCATCGAAATTCAAAATTAGAACTCTTTCAGTTCTGATTACTATCCTATCCTACGATTACTTGTGACCTGCATCCCTCAATGGCTATCGAAATGCTCAACATTAGGGCAAAATAAACAAAAAAAGATACATATTCCAAATTTTCGACAGTTCTTCGTGTCTATAGTACCCTTTACAAAATCTTCTCACGTATGAAACACCGTTTATGCATGTTTATGTAAAATAAAAGGCATTTTGTAGAAGCATAGACTTCGCTATGATTATCAATATTCAGTTTTCATCAAGTGGTACATTATTTAATGATTATTGTTATTTTAAATGTTACTAGGATCTGCTACTGTTGGATAATTCCGACTATTCAAATATTTGCATTATAACATAAGTTATGAAATACCACACATCCAAATGTTCTGATTGAATATCAGCTAATAAAAAAGCCCTTAAGAGAATGTAGGTAAATCAATTATTTAATTTTTTTTTAGATCTTTTTTAGTTTATATATCGTAGGATTTGATGAAATAATGAAGAGAAGTTGCCGAATAACTTTGTGAGTACTGAAATGTTTATATTTTATACAAACAGTGATATCTTTTTTTTTTTAATATTTGAAATCGCTGCACAATCGGTATTTCCAACATTGATAATTCAATCTTATGTGTGCCATACGTGACTATTTTTTGTAGTACTCAACATGTTGTAATACTAGTATTTATTGTCAATGTCAGGCCTAAAAAAGTCAATCTTTTTGTAAAGCAAGATAACAATTGTAATAGCTGTTCTTAAACCAGCATCATCCACCTACACTGCGGAAAATCAAGATATGTTTGGAAAAAATTACAAACAGATATCGTTTAATACATCAATGAAAAAAACATGATGTCATTGATAAGAGCATGTGTAGTTGTTTTCTTTTGTATATTTATCTAAATGCCATTCGTGTCCAAACATTGATTCATAGTTCTCAATACAATAAATTCAATATTGTAGAATTCATTGCATGGCACTACTTATAATAAATCATATATACACATAGTAATTATTCGCATCGAATATATGTAAAACCTTATATCTATTGGAATATAATTCGTTCGAATATTCTATTCTCTGCTTAACATCAGTTTATAAAGTATCTAACAAAAAAAATCAATCAATATATTGATTATAAAAATCAGATTGAGCAAATGACAAACACTCCTAACCAACTTGATCAATCCATCTGTTTTCACCGCAACATGTTTTTATAGTATGCGTAATAAATATAATATGCAGTTCAAATTCATGATAAAATCATATGTGACAATATTTACTCATTTGTGACTAACCATGCGGTATGAGTCTTTCAATTAGGTAGATACCAATTCTAGATCGCTTCTCTTTCATGCTCTGTTCTCTTCTCTCTCTTTAGGCGAAAAATAATACGATGGAGAAAAAGACCGAGAAGGGTAGCACTTGAATAGAAAAAATGGACGGAGGATATACGTAAAAAAGTAAATTATTATATTATTCAATGAATCAGTAATATATTTTCACAAGATATAAAATGAAATGACGTCAAATAATCAACTACATATTCATTATCTAGGGTATTAGTCATGAATCGCATGAAATAATATGATACTAACATTGGCAAATACATACGAGAAATAAAGAAGTTGGAAATATTGACAATTACTTGTGAATTTACCAACAGAAACAAAATAATCACGTACTATTTAATATAATATATTGTGATTTACTTAAATAATTTTCTTATTGTCGTTCTAATAAGAACAATATAGAAAAAAAAATCTATATTTTAACTTGTCACACAGAGTATAACTATAATCATTTAAAATTCATTAAATGACTAAAGACAGACTTCCAGAATTGAAAGCAAACGTATGCATTATTTCCGATTCTTATCAACAACATAATTTCATTTATATACTGTCTCATTTCAGGCTAAAAAATATACAACTGGTGAAAATATCAGTATTATCAATAATCTTGCTGTTAATAACATGGAAAAATCTTTTATGATCGATTTTTTTGATGAAGTAAGTATTAGAAGTTTTATTACATAAAAAAAAAAGAATTGTTGCGCAGACACTTGCTGGATTAAAATGTACGATTCAATGAGTCGATCTATGTTGTATATCAAGGAATTTCGTAACAAATGTTTTGGTTTTGTGACTCCCAAAGTACTGATGTGTATGTGATGAAAGTTTCAATACAATCCGTTACAGGGAGTTTAGAAAGCGAGTCAAAAGCGGGCATCTTCAATTCTATCTTCTTTCATAATAATCCTACAGAAGACTTTAGTTCCGTGGCTAAGTCTGACATAGGCATTAGTGGATAACAATGTTGCTGAGGTGTTTGTAGCGGAGGGAAAAGAATTACGAATCTTTATCTTTATATTATCACAGTCTTTTTGAATTGTCTTTCACTAAATTTCTGAAAATATATTATATATAAACAGGTTGATGATCTTGGGAATATTATTGATCATATTGCTGATCTCATCGATCATATTGAATATTTACACAATGTTATGTTAATATCACCATATGATTCTGGTAATTGATATATTTTCAAAATTTTCTGTTTAAAGAAAAAAACACTATTAAATCTTTAGAAATAAAAGATGAACTTGAAGACACAATGACAGAAGTACGGCAATTAAGTGATGAAGTTCGAAAACATTTAATAAGTAATGAACAAAAAAAAAATCTCTTCAAAAACAACAATAAATTGCTTTTGTTTTTAAGAAGTGAAACAAATGCACGAAATAGAAACTAATATTCAACAAAATAACGTTCGTCAGCGTATTATTGAAGCTCAATTGAATTATATAACAAAACGTTTTTGTAAATTAATGAATAAATATTATGGATCAGTAATTACTTATCGTGAAATATGTAGAACCAGAGTTGTTTCTAGTCAATGTCAAATAGGTTTTGATTTTGAATCTCATTTTATTATTGTTTTATTAAAATCATTATACGTATATTTCTAGCTGAAATTAAAAAAAATGATAATGAAATAGAAGAACTTCCACTAAATGGAGAATCAATTGTTTATCCACAAGTATAGATAAGACAAAAAAAAATGATCGATAATAATATGTTTGTATTAAACTATAGGTTACAATCGATATACAGCAAAGCAAACAAGTATTAAATGATATGAAAAAACGTTGTTCTGATATTATGCTATTTAAAGATAGTATTCAAGAATTACATGATATGTTTGTTTGTTTAGCTAATGTAATTGAATTAGAAGTATGATATTTTTAATTCATTGAATTCTCATTGTTATTATGTTTTTTTTTTTTGAATACTAGGGAATGAAAGTTAATTCTATCCAAGATAATTTATCCAAAGTTGCCGTACATACCATAAAAACTAAAAATATTATTCTTGATGCTAAAATTATAAATCATTCTGCAAAAAAAGTTAGTAAACAAAATTTAGATTGTTTTTCTTATGCAAAAAAATCATTTTTTAAAGTTATTTAGAAAAAAATTTATCTCATTCTTTTCATCATCATGGCGATTATTTGCATCCTGTATTTGTTATTAAAAATTTTGTGAACATAATTAATATACTTATTTGGTTAATTAAGAATTTACTGTATTAAAAATATTTCTTACATAAATATCGAGTTATTTAAAATAAACTAGAGATTATGTCTAACAATTTTTTAGGCTCAGAAGAAACTATTCATCTTTTGATTGGCATTGTTACAAGTAGTTTCTGAAGTTGGATATTCCTCTTCAATATTCAACATTTTTTTCGAGCTAATCATGAAGAGAAGATTAACATATTAAAAGTTTTTTCATTCTCGTATCTATTGACTAGTTATGTACTATATTTAGAGGCACATATTTCAATAAATTTATTTCAAAACATATTGACACTAATGTTTAATATGTTTGTTATTAAAATACTATGTGAAAATGAAACGATATTATTAATTATGATATTAAAAGAATATTTTCTAACTCATTTTGCAAATAAATTTCTAAGAAAAAGTCGATGTTCAATAATCAGAAGAAATATTTCATGGATATCAAACTCATATCTTGCAGAAAAAAATATATACGTCATAGTGAATGTATATTTTTCTATTGATTAGATTGAGTTAGAAAAATGAGAAATTGCATACGTTCGTCAGTACTCCTATACTTCGTCCCCTTACAATTCGTTCAGAATTGTGACGATTTATTTTTATGATAGAAATATGATATAAAATTTATTGTAATAAATTCAAGTGCTTATTTTCAAATTCATAACAATTCGAGTTAAATATTCTTCAATATTGTTGACATCATAAGACAGTGCGATTCTTTTCAATCGTGGGTGTGGGTTAAAAGAAAGACCACACTCATATCCATACTCGACCAACAGTCACAGTCATACCTCTTCATGAACATATAAGGTACATGCAAGATACAAGGCTCACATATGCATGATAAAGTGCTATTGGCGTGTATTCGTATGACAATGCATAAAAGGAGTATATACCATAAACTATTACTAAAGGAACCCTGCGTCAACATGCAAATTCTGCCATTTTCTAGTATTCGTGCTGCTCCATGCAAGAAATTTGTTTTCTTTTCTTTGAAATGTATTTATTTAGTTCTGATTAAACTAAAATCACTCATATATCAACATTATATTACCTCAAAAACCTTGTTCAATTTTTCAAATTTGTCTTTAATTATCGACATTTTTATTTACACGCACACATAATAGTTATCAGATGATCATTTGATCCTTCAATTTATGTTGCACTTTTAATGTATGTAAAAGGTTTAATGGTGAAAAAATTTATCTTATAAAGCAAAGTGTTACCTTCCAATCTTATTTCTGGAAAAAAAACAACTGGTATGTGCTTATGTAAGTTTACCGTACGTGTTTCAATTTTTGAAAATTCTAAAATTATGTTGCATGTTCACGCACTTTATACTCTTTTACATTTGACGGGATTATCACTGTTTAAATATAGAATAATGGCTATAAAAGAACATCATTGATTATACAGAATGGTCTACTGTGACCGACATATTAATAAGATGGTTTTATGTTTATTCTAAAGAAATTTTTCATATATGAATTATTATATTCAACAGTTTATTAAACAATAAAAGTACACAATGACAATTTATTCTATTTCAAGTGAAGGAAATATTTTTTTTTTCTGGATGAACGTAAATGAATGATTGCTTAACACACATTGTTTTGAGATTTTTTCCTTCTAATTACCATCATCATTTTTTCATTCATTGGTAATCGTGTAAGAAATCCTTTTCTTCGATAAATAAACGTCGGATTATTCAATAAGAAAAATGCTAAATACCATTTACGTCGTGCTTTTGATCAACGTGTTGTTGATGTTCTATATAAATGTTCATGAAGTAGAATACTAGTAAAGTAAAGTAATATAGGATGTCGATGAGCACATTCCATATGAATAAATCCACAATAAGCACTAGAACCTGCTTCTAATGTTTCAAGTTTTCGACCCATTGAAGAACAATCAAGTCGACACATATATATTATACCACCAATCATATTCGTTAGTACACGAATAATTGATGAAATTAAACCCAGAAATGCATCAAGAAAAAAATTAAAATATAAGAAAATCATCATTATGCTACGATGATTAATTGATAAAATATCACCTCCTTGTTGAAGAAATATATATTGTGCTAAGATTTTATTCATATAGATTTGAAAAATGGCAAAAAGTAAAAGAGGAATAATTTTTTTGAGTATCGCTTCTATAAATCGTACCATTCCATAAGTAATAATTATATCAATCATAACACCTATAATCATGACAAAAAATGCTACTAATATATAACACCATAAAACATAACTGATTAAATAACCACCAAAATGAATATTTTCATAGGCATAATCAATATTTCGTGAAGAAACACGTCGTGAAATTTCTGAATCATAACCATGAAATACTTATAAAAGATTTCGACGAATAGAAACTAATAAAACAAGTAATTGGTATAAAAATTACTATGAGAGCTGTAAATATGGCAATTAAATAAGGTCGAACAAGATCAGGAATAGGAAAATCAGAAGATGAATCTTCAATTTCTTGTAAATTATAATCACCTTGAATGATGAATATTATTAACAAATTTATAAATTGTTGTAACTTAATACGTAATGCACCGAGAAATGAAGGAATTTGAACATATGCCTAATTATACAAAAAATAAAGTTTAAATTAAATATTCTAATATATTCTGTTATTTTACATATGATATACATACTTGTAAAGTAAGAAAGAAAAGTAGACAAAAAATTGATGCATAAATACAAAGTACACGTGATGAAAATCGAAAATCATTTCGCCATGTATAGATAGATTGAGAAAGACGTGCCAATCGATTTATTGATATATTTATATTCGTTAATCGAAATAAGTTTTTCACATATTGTGATTCAGCCGAATCTGGTAATAATGAATGTAAAAGATGTTTTTGTTCACGTGTCAATTGTTTAACTCTCAATTTTCTAGATCGAATACGTTTAAAAAATAATATAGGTAATTCAATACTGATATATGAAAAAAATAAGCAACAAGGTATATCAGATAATAGTTGAAAGAAAATTAATTTTGATCCTGTACCATAATAAGTCAAATATGTTATTGTTCCACTTCCATGAGTTTTATTGTAATTATCATTTGTAGAATAATAATCATTATGACATACACCATTAAAAGCTATAGTGATACTAAAAATCAAACCATGCATATAAAGTAGCTATTATCAATGTGAATCGAGTATCGATATATATACAGCGGCTAATATAGGATAACATCGAAAACCAATCACAAGTACTTTGATGATTTGAAAAATATAAGTAACAATTATACCTATTCATATAAAATAATGTACAGGGTGGTAAATAATATTATTCCAGGGGGGTAACACTATGATCTCGAATCGGAGATATCATGAATTTTATACCAAATGAAAGCTCGTGAAAAATGGGGTTTAGTGATAGTAAATAGTAAGACTTTGAAGAACTTTCTTGTATTAATTTATCAAACGTTACGATTTTTATCGACATAAAATATTATAAAATCAGTTCATCGAAAAAGTTCGGGGCTAAACTATATGTTGTACAACTGTTTATTTTCTTATTATTTATTGAGTACAATCAATAATCAGTATGACGACCATTAGCACTCTTTACTGCACGAAGTCGAGATGGATACGAACATAAAAGAGCTTCAAACAATTCGGTATTTTCTTCCATGTCCGTCAAAACATCCGCAATGTGCTTTTTAAGTGTGTCTTCACTATATCGATTATGTCCAGTTTCCGATAACATTTTTTGTTCAACTTCATCTTTCATTATTGATCCAATATGTTCCGCCGCATTGAGATCGGGCGAATTACCAGGCCAAATATCATTGCCCCAAAACTCGATTTTGTTATCTCTAATCAGATGTTGAGTCATGTTTGCTCGCATACACGGTGCTTTATCGTGAACAAATATCACATTATCCAGATCAATTACGTTTTCCTCGTCGGTGAGGAATGGAAATACGTGTTGCATTAAAATAATGTCACGAAAATATTGACCGGTCCAAGATTCACCTTTGTCTTTAATCACCCAATGCATTTTTTTCGCGGTGAAAATGATAAAAATACCGATACACGCTTGGTTTTTAACCATTTCGCGATACCTTTCATCGTCTTCAATATCTTCAACACCTTTTGCCCAAATCCTATCATTTTGATAATTTGGTTTGCGAACTGTCCAAACATAAAATTCATCTGATGGTGCCAGATGAAGAAAATCTTCTTCAGTCCAATCTTTCAACCAATCACAGAGCCATAATCGATCTGATATATGAGTTTCAGATTTTAACGGTCTTGAAATAACATGAAAAGGCTTTAATCCTTCCCTACGACGGTAGTTATTAACTGTTTGTCGAGTAACATATTCTTTTTGTTTCTTTGCAATCTCTTTCGCCACGACAGAACCGCTTTTCCGTTGGTGACCACTTGCTTCACGAATAATGTCCTGAGCAGCTCTCGATAACTTGAGTTTAGGACCAGCATTCGAATAATCAGCAAAACATTGGTCACACGATTTTTCCCACCATTCTGTAACAAATCGAGTCGTACGGTGAATTTTGTCGGCAATCCATTGTCTATTTATAAATGTTGCACCAGCATCACGAGCTTCTCGGAAAGTAATGCATTTAATTCTATCAATCATTCTTTGTTGTTCGGTATCATAAGCGCCAGCCATTTGAAATAACAAACGAAAAAACACTGAGATTTCACTCGACTATAACTTTCAGACAGTCCGAGAACGAAAAAATTTTTCAAATAACTAGTATCACGTGGAGAGAAGAACAGAACGCCAAAGAACCATCTTATTGTGTGAGTCATAGTCATATATCATCATCGTTATCATTTCTCTTTCGTTTTCATAAAAAATGTTCGTTTTCAATGTCTCAAAATGTATGAAAAATGATTTTTAACGTGTTTTTGAAAGAAAATTTCGTTGTTTTTAAAAATTTGGTACACGAAAGTTCTTCAAAGTCTTACTATTTACTATCACTAAACCCCATTTTTCACGGGCTTTCATTTGGTATAAAATTCATGATATCTCCGATTCGAGATCATACTGTTACCCCCCTGGAATAATATTATTTACCACCCTGTATAATAGAAAGACTCTAATGAATTCTGAGTTTCAACTTGTAAAGAGTTCATGCCCTTAGCTTATTGCTATCGTGATATTGTAATTTTATGGTAAAAATTTAGCAGAATAGCTTGGTTCCTCTCAGAAACATCAGCAAAAATTAAGTTTTGAGCCTGAAGATGAAAATTTTCAAAGAAATTGTTTCAATAAAAATGGTTATGATATATGTAATCTCAACTCGAAAAACGATTGAACACTGCTGAACTTTTTTCACCAGTTAACTTTTGAACAAAAACTATGAAATGATATCATTTTAACAAGAATTTTTATTCTGACATTAAATTTTAATAGAAAATTTAGTTAATAATAACAAACCTTCATCAGTTAATGAACCATTTTCATTTATGAATTGATTTGCAAGATTTGATAGTTCATCAGCAAATATTGCAAATGTTCGTTTGACACGTGCAAAAAAATCTAATCGAATTGGTAAACCAAAATAACCTTTACAACATCTATTTATTTTATATGATTCTCGTTTTGTAATCATAACAAATAATAAAATAAGTAAACAAGCAAGAGGAAAAGTAAACATATTAAATTCTTCTAGCATATAAATTATACGACAAATAGATGGTCGATTGTAGAAGAGAGATTGATTATTATTGAATTTATAAATTATTTCTTTATAAATACTTTTTTAAAATAATCCATCTAATAATGAGAGTTATTGTACCAAGAATAAAAGTACTTAGAATAGTTATCAATGTCATTGTTCGTTGAGCTGAATTACTTGCAGTTATACGAAGCGTAGAAGCTTTTTGCCTGACAGTTTGAATAGTTAATCTATACGAATAAGATGAATGAATATGAAATTTTGTTTTTGAATGTTACGCTTACGTATTCTTATTTTTTGCTGAGTTTTTTCTTTTTTTACGAATCCAGCGAAATAATCCTAGATCATAGAAAAGTGTAACAAGAAAACTTGTGATAACTCCAAGAGCAATGATCTGTTTACCGCTGCTCGATACTAAAACGAAATAATAAATAGAAAATCTTTATACACATATACCTATGAATAGCCTACATAAACATTTTTCGCTTGAGTTTAATATTTCTCAAAAGCATAATATTTGGAGGCTTGAATAGTAACCTTTCTGAAAGGAGGCATAGAATTGCTACTCCTCGTAGAACTGGTCTGCCACTCATGAAAAAATAAAATATCCAAAAACTGCACTTACGTTCATTGCACAATGTTCCATTCCATCAAAACTTGCAGATACATGTCCATTCACCTTTTGAATTATCGCGACAGTAACCATATGAATCGCATGGATTATATGTTGAACAATCTGTGAATTTATTCACAAAAGAGATAAAAAGAAAAACACTCATTATGAATTTATTAATATTTACTTTCTCTTAACGACATCATTACTTTAATAATATTGAGATTAATTAATGAAATCTCTGTCATCATCTTATCAAACTTGTTGTTGTTTTAATTTTGTTTTCGATTAAGTAAAATAATATAATTTCTATCTAATTACTTTTGAATTGAATAAAAAAATCCACATGAATAAGGTCAATAAAAATCGGATAAATATTTTTTTGAGCCCGCAATTAGACAGATTTGAGCCCGATGAAATTCGTCCGGGCTCAAAAAAATGTTATGTGTCTGTTGAGCCCGGCTATCCATTGTTTTGAGCCCGGCCGTAAGATATTGTGTAGATGGCACGTGCATGATAAATTTCATCAATACGATAGATTATCATGATGCGTAACTTGTGTACATTCAGTATTTTTTGAATTTCTTACACGTTTGTTATTGTATTTCTTAAACATTTCACTATGCCCAATCGAACGTGGAATATTGTCGACAAATTTTTTAGTGAAAATGAATTTCAATCCTTTATCGTACAAAATGCTGTATCTATAAAACGTACAGAAGAAATTGAAGCTGGAAAGAAGGTCATATATCGATGTTCAAAGTACAGAAAATATCCTGAGTGCGATTTTCAAGTCAAAGTTATTTTTTCTTATGATGGTGGAATAACAGTTTCAACATCCAATGAACATAATCATGCTCATCGTGCATCAACAACACGAGCACCATCACCAGTTAGAGAAATTGTTATAAATTCTGTTGCAGCTGGCCTTTCTTACATTCAAACACATCGAGCTATTGAACATCAATATGAAGGTGTTGTTTCACGTTCACAATTATGTAGTTTATTAAATTACCATCGATCACTAAAATTACCCGATTTAAATTTTGTCGATGATTTTTTTCTGTTATATAAAATTATGTTTTTTTTTTGAACTAAATAAACTATAGCAGGTTCAGAACAATGGATAATCGGGCTCATTTCATATTTCGAAGTCAAAAGACACAAAACATTATTTTTTTGAGCCCGAACTAATTTTATCGGGCTCAAATGTTTCTAATTGCGGGCTCAGAAAAATTCTTGTCCATAAAAATCTATTGTTTCTTTTGATGTTATTTTTCGCTACATTTCAAGATAAAATGTGACAAATATAATATCTCATGATGACTAATATCAGTATTATCTGTATACATTTGACATTTGCCATGATGTCACAAAATACACAGATAAGACAACAGAATTTTCAAATAATATATATAAAAATTCAACTGACTAATATTTAACAAAAATTCTAAGCACATTTATATGTTGTTTGCTTATTACAATCCTTTGTATCACAAAATAAAAAGATTCAAAACCTTGATTGATCTGTTTTTTGACAGCAAAATGAATAATAGTTATATATGAAAACATTGTGTTTGATTTTTTACCAATCACAATCTTATATTTGTAACAGTTCAATATTCTGTATATTTTTTGAAATAGTCAATACAAAATTTGTTCTTTGTACTTTTCCGTTAACTAATTTATGATAAGACAGAATAACATTACATAGTTTCATTCATTTTGTTAGATTCTTGTTTTTAATACAATAACAGAGTCCTTATTCAAATTAAGTACTTACGGAAAAAAAAAGCAGACATTCGGAACAAAACTAACGGAATGTACTTGTTGAAATATATTAATTTGATTAAATACCATTCATAATATATACTCCTCTTACAATTTGTTTCATCGAAGTTATTATTTCTGAATATTCAATATCAAAAATATATATTTTACGAAATTCGATAGAGATTAGTGAAGCTATGTTAATTTTACAAATATTATCCATAGTTGTTTCATCAGAAAGATGATTGTCTTTTATCAAGCAACTAATAAATCATTATATGTGTATTCAATTTTTTGTAAATTTTGACGAAATCAGTTGGTGTTGTTTCAATAGTTTAATGTTATCTCGACGACTATTGCAAAGGTTATTATCATGGTGTACTTCTAAATTTTGTCTATCAAATCTTCTATATGATTTTTGTTATATTTAGATTTTCTAGCCATATCTATAATAATGTTCATTGATATAGTTATTGCTTTTGAAGCTATATATTTACACACACGTGATCATTTAGATCCGATAACATCAGTACTGTTTTGATAGATTTACTCTGTCGGCATGCAATTATCAAATTATTCACAAGTATACATAACGCGACGTGTTTTGATAATTATGATGATCAATCTGGTTTATATTTTCTGTACACATTACTTTTTTTTTTAAAGAAGAAAGAATATACATGATATCTTTGATAATATTGATGCATTCCCATATTAAAATAGTTTTATAACATTCAACGTTAGTTTTTTTCCTACTTCGATGATGATTATATGTGCTTTACTCATTTATTGTAATTTGATACATAAGCGACAGCATCATCAAGTTGCTAAAACTCAAAAAGAGAGGAAAAGAAAATTGCACAACAAATGAGACCAACAAATTCTACTCAAGTTTTTCTATCCAATTTGTAACAATATAAATATTTCGAATGAAACAACTAAATATATTGATATTGAGAAAATTTCTATCTTCTATTTGTTCATTTAATTATATGACAATGTTGTGAAAAATTATAGAATCATTTTCCGACTTTGACTTTTCTCGAATTTTATTCTTTCACTACTATCACTTTTCGTTTCACATTCATCAACCATATACGTATAGATTCATATGTGCACTTTCAATATTTATTGCAATAAATGTTTGCAAAAAAAACAGATGACAGTTTGAAATGAAGAGTGATATTATTGAAGAATAAAATTCGAGAAAAGCCCAAGTCAGAAAGCTATTTTATAATGTTTCACAGTACTACATATTCATCATGAATTTTATAAGAATTAGAATAAGTATGTCAACAATTACAAATATCGATACCAATTCCACCATTGTTTGTATTCAATTAAGAAAATTTTTTAGGTATAAACGAATTCAGTAAATAGTAAGAAGTTCAATGGATCATGCAAAAAAAAACATTTTTTTCTTGTTTTTTTTTTCAGTTGTGAACTATTGATGGCTTTAAATGAAGCTCATCAATCAATTTGGATCATTTGACGAAATGTCAAAATTGAGATCAGCAAATATGAATATAGTAGTATTTAATAAAAATATGTTTGTCGAAATATAAGACGGTCTTAATATTTCTTTTATATATAAGAATAGTATTTATTTTTATGTTCTAATGGTTTTTATTCGTCTTCTCGACTTAGTATAAGCTCATATCAATTCATTTGTTGTTATTGTTTTATATAACATTACGGACGTCATGTTTCTTATTTGCAATTGCTTTTATGGACTGTTTTTGTCTTATTACTTTTCTCTCTAATCTCTATTTTATAAATAATGAAATTATTATTAATTTTTTGTTCTGTCTAATTATTTGAGTTTATAATTTTACCATATTATAATTATTTTATTTACATTGTAATTCATTTTCATTTGTTTCAATCCTATGAACAACAAAATCTATAAAATTAAGTTATTACAATTGTTATGCCAAATATTATAATAAAAATTATATAAATCAAAGACTAAACTTGAGATTTGAACTTTTCAATAAGATATTATTTAATGATTTTATTCGTTATATTGATTTAAAAAGGATATGTATATTTCAACGTTTACATTTTGTAGATAGGTAATAACATGTATATAATTTTTTTTTGTTTAGACAAACTTCTAATTACAAATCAATCCTCTTACTATATGAATTAGTAATAGTACTTAAAATTATAATAAACATGCTTTATTATATTTATGTAGTAGAACAGCTTGAATGAACAAAATAATATGAATTTAGAATTGCAAATTATTTTTAACAAATCTACGTGCATCAAAATTTTCTATAGAATGATGTTTCTATTTTGTCTTTGTTTTGTATATTAATAATTCTTTCCGAATAGTAACCGAATCCGAAATGAAGCGACATAGTGTGAACAAGAGAAAGAAAAATAATAGCGCATCGATTAATATGAAGGACATATAAATATATAAAAAAAAAAAAAAAAGAAGAGGGAAGAAAGAAAGAACAGAACAAATGAAAAAGAAGGTTCCAAAAAAAAACAACAAGTTCTAATTGGAAAAGCCACATTCATAATATTAGTGAATAAAAAGCTCATTTATCATTGTCATTCATTGATGATTCTCACGCTTGTTAATTACAATTGACAAATATAA